TGAGGCCATTCCAGTCCAGACCCAGGATCTGTGATGTCATGGCCCTCGTCTGGAGCCAAACAGACCCATGCACAGGGCACAGCTGGTTCCTATAACCCACAGGAGAGCTGCAGTCCCCGGGGCCACACACACCGGAGTAATGCTACAGTTATGTTGAATCATCTGCACTGTGGCTGAAGGTGGGGTTAAGGGATACAAACGGGTGTTCAAATTATACGTCCTCTACAGTGAGTTACACTTTCTCCATTACATATTTGCCTGGGAAACATCGTACTTTAAAAGGGACTGTGTGGACTGTGTATTTTTCTCATGTAGTAAAAAGAAATTCACACCAGATGTATTGTAAAAGCAGCTTTAGGGTCAAAAATAGGCCGTTGTCTGCAGTCTGCATCTAATTATAACAAGTTTTTATCATCCGCGAGCGAGGCACTAATACTGTCGCATCGTTAGCGTTGATACCATGATCGCAAGTCTCTCGTGGACTATCACAATATATCGAATCACAAGTTTCTTTGCTTAAAGGTTGCATAGAGGATTTTTTAAGGGAAGAGAAATACAGCGACAGTCCTTTTTCAAACGGAACACCTCCTCCCGCTAGAGGTGAGATCGGGCCTAAAAAATCCAGCCCGACCCGACCCGGCCCGCGGGTATTAAAACCCGACCCGGCCCGAGCCCGACCAATTAACTTGATTTGCAGGCCCGAGCCCGAAGCAAACCCGAAATGTCATATTTTATTTGTGACTCGGGAGGAGGAGCAGTGCTCAGCGTCGAGGTGCCAGTCTTTTTGCTCTCGTATGAAAGCAAAGCGCCACATTGACGACATTCAGCGAAGCCAACGCAAGTTTCTGTAGCATTTTCAACAATCAATTTGAAGCTTTTCCACACCTCACTCTTACCGGTGCGTGTTTGTCTTTTCAGTTCTCCTGCCTTTAGTTTAACTTCTTGCTCCTCCATATTGGGGATACCAGGTCAAAATAGATGCAGACTTGCGGAGGGGAAGATTATTAAATGAAGAGGGGGCGTTCACGTGCGCAGAGCTCTGGCTCTGCGGATCCTGTTTAGTAGTTAAATAGCAATTACATTACATTACTTCTCTGTTTTATCCATATTATTTATTTTATAACAAGTATTCCTTAGTTTAGTATCCACACATCGTTTTAGCATACATTTTATAAACATATATTTATTTGAAGCCCGAGCCCGACCCGACCCGAAGTTATGATTGACATTTTAGACCCGACCCGACCCGTCGGGCTTGGGCTCGGTCTTAAGATCTTACCTCTACCTCCCGCCTCTTTACTCTAGAAATCACGCTTGTTTACAGCCAGTGCGCGTTCAGAATTACTGTTGAAGTGACCTGTCTAGATGTAATTTAGCGACCGGCGCGTCAGTTTTTAGACCCTTCGTCTGCTTCAGTCGTGCAATCGCTGGAAGGAATCTCCAAGAATCACCTCAGTTTGTCTTCGCTCCTTTTCCCCTTCTCTTCTTCTTTCAGTGACCTTAAAAAAACGACTTTCTTTTGCGGCGAACCGGTCGTGGATTCTCGTCCGACATCGCAACAAACTTGGTGCGAATTGCGAGGAAGCGACAGTTTGAAAAAGCCTCTAAGAACCGCTGCATAAACCACGAAATCCCCGCGCGCCGGCGAGTCCGTTACACTAGGGAGTTTGATTGACAACCTAACAGCCAATAGATAAAGAGGGAGCCTTGTTTTCTATTGGCTGATGTTTATTTGGCCTCAACATGTCCACAGTTGATACATTTTCATTCTTTTTTTTTTTGGTCATCATAATTACAAAGCTGCTGTGTCTCTGTAATGGTATTTTAAACTTTCACTGACAATTTGAAACAAACAAACAAAAAAATTCCTCCATACAACCTTTAAATTCATTGTTATGGTGCAGCAGTAGCCTAAAAAAACAGAGCGAACTACATCGACCATGATCCTTTGCTACATGTTGGTGCAAACTACATGAAGAAATAACAGTTCTAACACTTTTAAGTCTTAGTTCTTTAGATTAAGTCTTGTCAAGGCATTTTAAGAGGAAAAAGTAGCTAATTTTATTAACAGTTTTGTTTCCTCCACAAAATATCGCAATAAATATCGGACCATGAGATGTATATCGTGAAAATATCGTACCGAGAGATTTGGATATTGTTACATCTTAATCGTGAGCCTCCCTATCATATCGTGAGCTTTCCCACGATATCGCAATAAATATCATTTCGTGAGGTTTACACAACCCTAGTTTATACCGTGACGATATCGTATTGTGAGTCTTGGATATCGTCACACCCCTAGTAACTCTGCTTGGAACGCACAGATCTGTTTAGAGTAATTAGTTAGCATATTTTCATCATATTTTTGTTAGCCTCCGCAAAATATCGCAATAAATATCGTACCGTGAGATGTATCATGAAAATATCGTACCGTGATATTTGGATATCGTCACGTCCCTATTTGTCACCCTGCTCTCTGTAACTGCTGCTGTCAGGTTCCTCATTTTGGTCTTAAAATGTTCGTATTAACCCGCTCTACATGATCCTGTTTTTTTATATCACTATTTTGTCATAAATCAAGATATGGACACGGATAATAGTAGGGGTGTGCAAAAATATCAAAATATCGATATATCGTATCACTTAACTTGATGATACAGAATCGATATCGTGAGCTGCTGTATCGATATATATTTTGCTCAATTATTTTGTCACAGAGCTACAGTTTTGTTAATTGTTTGGTGGAAGGAAACTTGTTCATGTGACAGATTTGCCATTTTCACAGTTTTTATGATTAAAATGTTTGTGTTTCATTTTAACTTTGCACAAGAAGTGGTTTAACAAAGACTTTTAGTGTCACAGCCATGATTTAGCCTTTTTTATTGAACCGTATCAAATCAATTTGAAATATATCAGATCGAATTGAAAGTGTGCTGTATCGAGATATGTATCGTTTCGTGGACTATGTATCAAGGTATGTATCGTATCGGCAACTTCTTAACGATACCCAGGCCTAGATAATGGACCAATGAGGCGGCTTCTTTCAACCGAGGTCACCGGTAGCTTTAGCAGCAGGTTTGATTGACAGCGTTGCTAAGTGCCCGCTCCCTGCTAAACCAGTGGAGCAGGCACTGTCAAACATAAGGCCCGGGGGCCAGATCCGGCCCTCCAAGACCTTTAATGTGGCCCTTGGCTGATTTTCTACTAAAATATTTTAATTATATTTTCTATTAAAATATTGGTAATTTTCTGTGCCGCTGATCATAGCAGCGTCTCCAGCGTCTCTGTACGTGGCCCCTCCCACCAGAGCAGCACAAATGAAGACTTGTCTCTTTCCAAACGCTCTTAAAGGACGATCGTTTTGACTGTTGACCGTGACACCCTCATCAGAAAAATGTCCAACATGAGAAAAGTGGAGCCGGGTGCAGGATTTTCCCCAAAAAATTTACTTATTCCTATTTGCACACAAGTTAATGTTAAAACATTGTGTTGAAATTGCATTTTTCTTAAAGTTTCAGGTTGTTCATAATATTATAATATTTTGTTAAAGAAAGAGTTTATCAATTAAAAAAGATTTCTGTAATAGATTTGTGTTTCTCTGCACAAATATTTGAACTTATTGCTATTTTTGGGGTTTATATGCCATGAGTTTTCTGATCCGGCCCCTTTGGGATCAAAGTAGGTTGGATACGGCCCCTGGACCAAAATGAGTTTGACACCCCTGATCGACAGTATGATACTCCATCATTTCCAGCACAGTGGTTAATCAGTGCCTCACAATCAAGATGATGCCAAGTTTTATTCCCACACAAATGGGCCCTTTTGCCTGAAAAATAAGTAGGATATAAAACATTTTTTGAGATTGTTTCCCCCCAGATACTTAAAACATTTGGAAGTACTTTTTTGAGACTTTATTCCACTATAAAATACTCCTTAGTTTTGCTCATAACTAGGGGTGGGCGATATCTCGATATTTTAAATATATCGAGATATTTTTTTAACTCGATATGAATTCTGACATACCATATATATCAATATAATGTTTATATTCAATTTTGATTTCGCCGCTTCGCTTGTTTACCTTCTCTCTCTTCGCCTCTGTACGCCCCCGTCTCTCTGATTTTTTTCGCTCGTGTCTCCCTCACTCCTCACTATCGCCGTGAACACCGAAAGTTGGTGCCAGTGAAAAGCTTCAAAGCCATCATCAGCACATCCTCATATTCCACCGAGTCTCGTCCTTTAGCCCGAAAGAAGCTAAACAGCGTGAGCGGCACGTGGAGTGCGCTGTTTATGCAAATGAGCCATGCGCTTAAGTTTCGTTTCTGTAAAATGTAAACACACGTGCGCAAAACTGCATTAAACACATTATTATCTCAAACGGGCTGATGTGGCTCTAGAGTCGTTGTGCTTTATATATTGTAAAGTTTAGCAATGTAAAGTTTATTAATGCAGAAGATTTTAATAAATAATCTGCTGCAGTGTCACTTGTACAATAGTGTTTGGAAACGTTGGGTTTGATCTGCAGTGGATTGTGGGATTAAACCTCAGAGCTCATTACTGCTGGATAATAACATGGATCTATTAAAATAAAGAACATCCTGAACTTCCTCTGCTAAATGAGCTCATGGTTATGATTATGGTTCTGGTCTGGATAACAGAGTTAATGCAAAGATGAGCTTGTGTTGAGTTGTTTTATTTATGAATGAAAAGAAGGAAATATGTATTATTTATTTTATTTTACAGTTAAATTATTATTTATGTAATTAGGGTTTTTTGTAATCTTAAATGTTCCTATATGAACTGTCGACCTCTTACGCTTCAATTAAAAAAAAAAGACCTTGTGGAATTTGGCAGATTTGTTTTTGCAGTTTTCAATTTTAGGGGGTTATTTTTTCTTGAACATATATCGAGATATATATCGTATATCGAGATATATTTTTTGATCCATATCGCCCAGTCCTACTCATAACAATGTTCTGTTCTCTCTTTGTCTCTTACAGCTGTATGAAGTGTTCACCTTTTTGGCCGAGAGAGGCGGGATCGCTCAAGTCCACGCTGAGAATGGAGAGATCATCGCAGAGGTAAAACACTGGAACTATTGCACTTTGCACCATTTTTATTTTTGTTCACATTTTTACATTAATTTAATTTTGCTGTGATGTTGTGAGTCGGCTGCGTGGTCATTTATGGTTTCTAGTTACTCATAATTATTGGACATTGAATACCTTTAAAGCAAAATCGTTTAAGGAGCAGAAACCGTTTATTTGACTGAATCTGTTTCTTTTAATTTCCATCTTATCATATTTTCGTTTCCATGGCTTGTATTATCTACATTCAGACTAAACACTGTCACAAAGCAAAGCGGTGGCTGCATATCTTGTAGTTTAATCATTACGGCTGGTTTACACAATACATCATTTGGGGCTTTTGTGGGTGGACATTGTGAATTAATATGAATTTTTGCCGTTCGGGGAGAGACCTGCGCTTTGTCAGTGTGGTTAGTTTTGGCTGGCCGCTGCTACTCCTTTTCTGCTGTCTACAAAGAATCTGGGGCCTGTGGGTTTTAGTTCGATTTATTTGACGTGAATATAAAGTAAACTGTTCCTGGACGCATTTGTCCAAATTAGGGCCCCCGCAATGAATCAAAGTTAAATCGAGATCGAGATTCGGTCGTTTCCTACTTCTTTTTAATGAGGAGGTCTACGGCCAATCGTGTGTCAGTAAAAGCGTGCGGTTTGGAGCGCAGTTCAATGTTTCAAATCCAATCAAAAACCGTGACCGATCAGAAGGAGTTAGCCCTCATTCAAATTGGGTATTATACAAACAACGGGAAAAAGAATTTGAGAGCAAGTTTTCATTTGTAAGAGATATTATAAAGTACATCTACTACTACTACAACTTCTACGGGGTACTAACTGCGAACACGTCACATATTTAGACCACCATGTTAGCTTTTATTGTTTTGAAAATGCTCCGCTTGTTGAATCACTCCGAGCTCTATTACAAAAGAATCAACATGTATCCCGCTAATGAAACTACTGCACTGCATCGCGTCAGTTTTTCAAGTTGTTGTGTACAGTTTTGTATCATGTTTTTGTATATTTACAGAGAATCGTCGTGTGGGAGCGTGGGTGATGTAGGCGTGTGGGTGGAGCTTTGCACAGAATAGATCTTTTTCACAACTGTATCACGGAGGTATCCTGCTGTAGACTTGCAGAACTTCCGGTTCATGGTTTTCTATGGCAAAATGAAAAATTTGATTATTTTGAAGCTAAGCAGGGCTGGGCCTGGTTAGTATTTGGATGGGAGACCTCTGAGAAAATCAGGTGCCACAGGGGGGTTGTAAAAAACTGTTGTTGTGTTCTTAGGCAAGGCACTTCACCCTCATTGCCTAGTATGAAACTGGCCACGATACGATACATACCTCGATACACGGGCCACGATACGATACATACCTCGATACACAGGCCACGATACGATACATATCTCGATACACGGGCCACGATAAGATACATACCTCGATACACGGGCCACGATACGATACATACCTCGATACACAGGCCACGATGCGATACATACCTCGATACACAGGCCACGATGCGATACATACCTCGATACACAGGCCACGATACGATACATATCTCGATACACAGGCCACGATACGATACATATCTCGATACACAGGCCACGATACGATACATACCTCGATACACACAGGCCACGATACGATACATACCTCGATACACAGGCCACGATACGATACGATACAGGCCACGATACGATACATACGATACACAGGCCACGATACGATATATATCTCGATACACAGGCACGATACGATACATACGATACATACGATACATACTCGATACACAGGCCACGATACGATACATACCTCGATACACAGGCCACGATACGATACATACCTCGATACATAGGCCACGATACGATACATACCTCGATACACAGGCCACGATACGATACATACCTCGATACACAGGCCACGATACGATACATACCTCGATACACAGGCCACGTTACGATACATACCTCGATACACAGGCCACGATACGATACATACCTCGATACACAGGCCACGATAAGATACATACCTCGATACACAGGTGACGATACGATACATAACTCGATACACAGGCCACGATAAGATACATACCTCGATACACAGGTGACGATACGATACATACCTCGATACACAGGCCACGATAAGATACATACCTCGATACACAGGTGACGATACGATACATATCTCAATACAGTGCACTTTCAATTTGATATGATATATTTCAAATCGATTTGATACGGTTCAATAAAAAATAAAGTCTAAATCATGGCTGTGATACTAAAGTCTTTGTTAAACCACTTCTTGTGCAAAATTCATGTGAAACACAAATATTTTAATCATCAAAACAGTGAAAATGTCAAATGTGTCGCATAAACGAGTTTCCTTTCACTCCACAAGCAACAAAACTGTAGCACTGTAACAAAATAATTTAGTAAAACGCACGTAAAAATACTCTTGCTGATATATCGATACAGTAGCCCACGATATCGATACTGTATCATCACATTAAACGATACGATATATCGATATTCCGATATTTTTGCACACCCCTACTGTAAAGCGCCTCTGAGTGTCCAAAAAAGCGCTATATAAAACTGCCGCGTTATTATTATTAGTATTATTATTTTTGCGAGGTTGTTCACATTTCCAATTAAATGCGACTTGTATGTGAACTCAACAGTGTGAACTTTAAACGCCCCAAAAGTGTCCAGCATGTGCACTGGAGGACATGACGACGTCACACACAGCGCGCATCCTCAGTGTTTACGGAGGTCACCTAAACATGTACGCAGCATTGAGCACCTGGAGATTTTAAAGTTGCTGTCGTACATGTGCAGCTTGTTTGTTTTAAGGAGCAGATTGAGAAGGAGAAGGACGAGGTTTTTGGCCGTGGTGTTTTGTGGGGCAGTGGCAGCAACGTCCATAGAAAGGAACGTGTGGGTGCGGAGTCGCAGCCGAGAGTGGTGGGATTATATCTGCTTCACTGCTTCACTCACACAGAGTTCATACACAAGTTTCGTATGACTAGAAGAACGGCCTGTTTAAGTGAGCAGAAAGCGTTGGCGTTGGGATGTATTGACTCGCAACAGGTGCTTGTTACTGTGTTGTTGATAACGTGTAGGTGGGATGAATGTGACCTGGCCGTGCAGACTGAAGTCGCAGGTCAAAAGATCGGATAAGTATCGGTTTTAGGAGCACATATCCAAGTGGCCTGGGTCGCATTTGAAAAAATCGGATCTGTGTTGTTCAGACTGTCATTAAAAGATCAGATACAGGAGCATAGGGGCGAAAAAAAAAGCATGGATTTGGGCACTTCAGGCTGTCGTCTGAACATAGCTTAATGCTTTGTTGTTGTTCTCCTTTAAGTTTTCGTCTTTCTTACCTTGATAGTTGTGGATAAATTCTTCATAGACTGAATGTTTATCCTTAGTGGATCTTGTTGGTTGAAGATTTGGTGATGGGGCAGATTTATGAAGCTGGTGGAGAGTCGGCGAGACATTTCCACAAATATTTTGCCACAGAAAACCATTAATTGCAAGTTCCGCGAATCTACAGTGGGGCACTTCCGGCTGTTGTGAAAAAGGTCTATCTTACAGCTAACCGTAAAAAAAGAGAGAGAGATTGCTAAATTATTCAAAGTTGCATGGATGACATCTAAAGGGCCGTTCACACCAAGGCGTCAAAGCGTCCAGTTTCAATGTAAAGTCTATGTGGACGCGCGACTAGAGCTTCCTGCGTTTTTGCGGCGCGTCTTCAGCGTTTTGGCGTCAGCGGCCAAGACGCGCGTCCAAGGCGTCAGCGTCAAGAAGTTGAAAATGCTGAACTTTTCGCGTCAGACGCGCCGCGTCAACCAATCAGGGACGAGTATCCAGTGACGCAGCGACATTATTATCAGGAAGCAAGACCCGAGAACCAGAACGAGAACCACAAACATGAGCGGAGAATAAATATATACGCCACAATCACCGAGCCGATCGCGAGGACTACACCAGGACCGGACCAGGACTAAACCAGGACCGGACCAGGACCAAACCAGGACTAGACCGGGACTAAACAAGGACTAGACCGAGACTAGACCGAGACTAAACAAGGACTAGACCGGGACTAGACCGTGATTATACCAGGACTAGACCGGGACTAGACCGTGATTAGACCAGGACTAGACCGGGACTAGACCATGATTAGACCAGGACCAGACCGGTATTAGACCAGGACTAGACCGGGACTGATCCAGTGTCATTAGCAGAGTATAAATATATATACACACCAGTCGTCGACCCGATCTCCTCCGTTGATGTTTGATGTCATAAAAACACTCTCTCAGTCTGGTCTGACAATGTTTCGGGAAAAGAGCGGGACCGGGCTCTTGTTTCCAGGGCAACGGACGCGCGTCAAGTATTTTTGTCCCGTTCGTCCACGGCGTCAAAGACGCACGTCGGGGGCGTCTAAACTCAAATGCAAAGGCGTCCAAATAGAGGCGTCAAGGCGTTTTTTGACGCTTTGGTGTGAATGCCCCTTAAGACCTCTTCAGGCGTGTTTTTGATGAGGGAACATTACAACATGGTAAAAACTTGTTTTGTTTTTTTTAACCCTCTCCAGGCAGGTGTTGCAGATTTGCAACAGCTAAATGCCAATTACCTACTTACTCCACATCCATATTTTATGAGCTTTTTTTTACTCAGGAGCCGTTTCTCCCATCCATGCTGATAAACGTGGACGATGCAGAAGTGCAAAATACTTTTTTTGTTTACAAAGGATAAAAAAGTCAGGATTGTATATTACTACCCCATATTATAATTTTCCCCAAATATCAGATTTTTCCTGATACTAAAAATTAATTTGAACCTGAGAGGGTTAAAAGTCTATTTCACATAATAGCCCCTCTTTAAGTTGTATAATACAGAAGTTACAGTTTCTTCCATTAAAATCCTGAATGTTCTCAAGGGACTAGTTTCCCCAGTTGAAGGACTTTTCGTAGCTTGATGATGATTGATAGTTCAGTGGCAGCAATCACTCATATTGGGCTGTGTTTGTACTTGTCCGTTTTGTGTATTTGGAAAAGATTAAACTCTTTGGTCTGTTTCTGGAAGCGATTTATTTGTAAAAGGCAGATGTGTTAATGCTTGACAGAACCCCAATCAAAATGACATGTTTAATCAATTACAAAACTACTTTTTAATTTTGAAAGAACCCATGTTAATGATCTCGAAATCTGTTTTTGAACACTGTTTTTCCTGCGTGTGTTTGTGTGTTTAGGAGCAGGCCCGTATGCTGCAGATGGGAATAACTGGACCAGAAGGACATGTGCTGAGCCGACCAGAAGAGGTAACACAATCGTACACTCACACACATTCTACTGCGCTCATAGACTGTAGAAAGAAGTGGATCGAAGGAGTGTGACGTCACCTTTAGCGTTCAGCTCCAGTCAAATGAAGCTCATCAAGGTTGGCAGCTGTAAGGCGAATTTGTAGTTCCATGGCAAAAATAAAAACATCGGGATCATGTCGAGGGGTGACAGTTTCTCAGTACAAAGTAAACTGGACCCGGAGTCGATGTTGCGCCCGTGCTTATTTCCTATTTGGAACGCAGTAGCTAATACGTTCCAAAAAGGACACTCGCATGTGAGTTCTTCTGATCCTGGCTCCCATTAACTTACATTAGAATATTGTTGCCTCTCTCTCTGTAACTGCTGCAGTGAGCCTTGTCTTGGGTGACCAGATGTCCCTATTTACCCACAACAGTCCCAGTTTTGAGTCCTGTGTCCCCTGTACCGGCGGATTTATCCAAAACCAGTGATTTGTCCCAGTTTTAAACAAGAAGTGTCCCCAGTGTCCATATTTCTGACCAGTTTGATCCCCGTCAATAAAGAGAGACATACTGCACATGGTCACTTGTTTACAGAAAAGCTGCTTAAACATGATCAAAACACAAAGAAAATGTGACTAATAATGACTCACATGTTAGTCATGAATGGGCCGAGTGCAGAACAATTTTCCGTAATTACACACTTGATTTCACAGTTTTATTATTAACAACCACCTGAAACCGGGGTGTCCCAGTTTTTGATCTTGAAAATCTGGCCTTGTCATTCTGGTCTTAAAATGTTCGTATTAACTCGCTCTACATGATCCTGGAGTTTTTTAGTTTTTTTTTAGTTTTTTTTGTTGTTTTGTCCATTGAAAAGTCTTATTCATAATGTAGAGTCTGGCTTCAAATTTGCTCCTATAACCACTAACATCACAAGCTTCATTTGTGAGCTGAACGTTATCGGTGACGTCACACTCATGTAGTCCACTTCTTTATACAGTCGATGGCAGTGTTTCCCAAAGACTGTGTCGCGGCCCTCAGGTGGGTCGCAAGAGATTTTTTTTTGCGTCACCTTATCACTCCTTGTCTGCATATAGGTCTGCAGTATACAGGACTGCATTTAGGCTACGTCCACACGACAGCAGAGCACTGAGTGAAAACGATGTAATACATGTGCCACACCTGTATGTGGCGCTGTTAACAATGATAATATTTAACACTGCATATCTCATCACTGTTTTTTAAACTTTAAGGTAAGTTAGCCTATTTTAGATGTATCCCAGAAATACAGCTGTTTTGTTTTGCAAACGTTAAGTTAAACATAAGTCACAGAAAGAACCCACTGAGTCGTGTCCTTTAGTCCGACAGAAGCTGAACCGCATCAGTGCGCAATAGGGAGCTGTTTTTTGAGCGCTTAGTTTATGCAAATGAGCCATGCGGTTTTAAGTTTCATTTCTGTAAAACGTAAACAAATATGCACAAAGCTGTGTGGATAGGGAAGACTTGTGGACACAGAAACAACGTGTCTGGACGCAGATGTTTTCTAAATACAGTGATACGCGGATTCGTTTCAGTGTAAACATAGTCTTTGTTATTGATCCGTGTGCGTAATCTGTGGTGTGTGTTGTTAGTATTGGCGCTAACAGCGTGTCTCGGTTGCTGGGTGATGGGAGCTGCTCCGTCGGCTACACCTGTCCCATTTCAGCAGAGCTCTTGCGGTCTGTGGAGGATAGTTCGAGGGCTGCGGGCTTCACTGCATCAGAGAACCCTGGCGATGACGGGGTCGTGACATCATTTTCCTAAACCTGCGGTTTGCTTGTCCACGCGACAACACGATGCTGGCATTCTCAGATTTCTCCACTCTGGAACCCATTCTCAAAATACTCCATCTTCGCCCACCCAAAACGCCGGCTCCGTGTGGACGAAAGGCCAAAACGAATACAAACTTCTCCATTTTGACCAAAAAACTTTGTCGTGTGGACGGCCCCTTAATGTCCAAATAGGCGACTTATGACAAGGCAAGTTTATTTGTATAGCATAATTCGTACACAAAGTAATTCAAAGTGCTTCACAGAATAAGAAATGCATTAAAATCACAATAAAAACAAATCAGAACATAAATAATCATCATAAAATTAAAAAGAGAGAGAGACATTAAATTAGAGAGAAGAGAACGAAAAGAAAACCTTTCAGTCACAGCTAAACAGAAATGTTTTAAGCCTGGATTTAAACAGAGTCAAAGTAGAAGCAGGATGGATCATTTTATTGCTGGTTCAGTGACTGTTTTTCATTGTTTACTAATGGTTCAGAGACACGATCACTCCGTCAACAATAAAACATCCTCATTAATGTTCAATAAATCAAATCCACCTTTATTTTGTGATTTACGAATAATATTTGACTTGGGTCGTGAAGGTTTGTGGCTTTTAAAATATGGATCCCCAGACAAAAAGCTTGGGAAACACTGCTCTATAGTCTATGACTGTGTTCCAAAACAAATACTGAGAGTAAAAATACAGAGAACACCTTTTACGACTCTGGGTTGTGCGTTAAAATTCCATAACGCACAGCTCCTCTTTGCTTAATGCTTACTTAAATCACATATTTTAATACAGCCATTATCATTTTCGCTGAGATTTTTCAAATATCTCCCACCATAGACCGATTTAAAAACATGTCCCTGTTTATAATAATCCTTGTTTGTTACAGATCGTACTTGCAGTCCCTCTTTTGTCTCATCTCCCCATGAGTTTATTGTGGCTAAAATCATTTACATTTCTTCCTTCCCTCACATCAGCTGTCTGTTTCAAGCCTTTTTAGTGGCTTCATAAACACATTTTTCCTGTTACACGCATATGGTTTGAACACTGTAAAATCTCACGTTTCCATAATCCACTTTGGCCCATGTTTCTTCAGTAAACTCCAAAAACGAGAGACATATTTTTGACTCAGCAGCTTCTCTGTCTGGGACTTTCCACGCTTTGCCCCGGAGTAGTTCATTCCCGTCAGCTGTATAGTGTAACACAGTGAAGTGGAGTCTCGAGGATCTAAAGTGTGTGTAATGTAATTCACGGAGAGACATCCAGCTGGGGTATACTGTCTGATCAGTGTCCGGGTGCTGTCTGGGTTTGTTTACGGTTTATTGGAAGAGCACTGGATCGGAAAAAGAGGCAAACAATTGACTTTTGTTTTCAAGACTTCTTAAGTGGTTACGATAGTTTATACGGGCCTCTTCCTCGCACTTATGAAAGCAATCTGTCAAACTTTACTCGAGGCGCTGTGCCGGATTTAAAGCCTGCACCGTCATCTCTGAACGAGACACTTTATGTGTCTTGTCTAGGGGCCGTACGCGCAGACTGGCAGCCACGCTTTTGTCTGACTCAGGGCAGCTGGGCAAATACAACTCACTATCACCATTAGAGCCCGACCGATATGGATTTTGCTGTGGCCGATATGAAACCAATATAATGGAAGTTGGAGCTGCAACTTTCTCAAAGTTTCGTTTTGAGCCGCTGCCTCTGTCAAACCACGAGTCTGCACGCGGCGTGAAGAGAAAAAAAGTGAGAGAAAGAGAAAACACGGCTCCCAATAAGGATCAGGCTCCTGTCGTTCCCTTCAAAGAGCCGGTTCTAAGAGTCATTTCATTCGTGACGCACCCATAACTAGTAAAGAAAGTAGCGCTATTAGCCTTTAGCCGTAAATACGTGCGCGCCGCAGTAATTAATTATATGCGCAAATGTCATAATTCACATGTCTATTCACAGCTCATTTACATATCAGTGCAGGTCCAGTAGCAAATATACGGCCAATATAGTCACTTTAGAACAGACCAATAGAAAACAGTCTGTTTATGTGCGGGAGCTACAGCAGCTAACCCATAACAAATGACAAAAACTAGCTTCAGAGTCGACATATTTCCAACACTCACCGCTCACACAGGCTCCTCCTCACATCACAAATCTGCACTAATAAATGTCCTTTTAATTCAGACTCAAACCGATTGTCCGTAAAAAGAATATAATCTCAGTGTTTGGATCTGTGTCTGCGGTGTAAACAAACACACGTGAGTGACGTGACTCTGTGGTGTGTTCAGGGACAGTACGGACACATACAGACAAATGACTCCGTAGATAAATACTGATGTGGAGCCACATATTAGGACATTTATCTGGCTGTAAATTGGATTAAATGAACAGAATGTAGAGAGTCTAAGCTTTATAACGAGGTATAACATGCCCACGTGAAATATCAGCCCCCTATCAGCAGCCGATAGCCGATATGCCTAAAGTTGCCCATATCAGCCGATAATATCGACCAACCGATATATCGGTCGGGCTCTAATCACCATGTGTGGACAGAGTTATATACGAGTGGTTCCTTAGGGGTTGTGTTTTTAATGTTTGTGTAACTTTGCTGGTGGTGGTCTGTCAAATGCTTTTCTCCATGGAGATGTTATTACTTTGTCTGGAATGTTTCACAGTATGATATTAAATCTTTCTATCTTCATGGAGACCAAACCAGACCAAGTTACAGACCAAGTTCCAGGCCAGATCTGCGGAGAGGGGATGCCGCTCCCTGTCAGAATGTTTGTTTTTCTAGGGATTTTTGAGGGTAGAGCTGTGTAATATCATAAAGCTCATAAAACTTAGCCAGTCAACATACCTATTGTGGGTTAACATTTTACAGAGAGACATTAGAAGTTTTAAACACACTATTATCTTTGAACAGAGAGGAATAGTAACTGTTAGAAGGGAGCTGTAGTTGTTGAAATCAGCGCTGATGAAACTGGAAGAAACTAACAAGCCTGAGATGCCTTCAGTTAGAGCAGAGATGATCACTCAGCCACCAATGTCACAAAATACTCCTCCTTGCAATCTCCTGCAGAGAAGACAAAACCAGCAAAGAATACAAAAGTTATGCCCAAAGCCAAAGAACCGGTGATGGGCAGATGCAAGAGGCAGGATAATTTAAAACTTTCCCAACATTTGAGGAATGTCAAGGAAACAGAGGAAAAGCACATTTCAGAGACGCATATTTTCAAGGGATGTGCAAATCTTTCTCCCGAGTTGATGGATGGTGATGCTGACATGGATGATTTCATAATCTGTGTATCATTCGTTCATTCGTTTTTCAATATAAAACCAAAAATAAGAAAATGAAAAAACAACAGTTTTCTTCGTTATTTGTCTCCAAAACCAAAATGAAAAAACGGAAAATGATTCATTTTTTTCAGTTTTGATTTTGTGTTTAATGAAGAATGGAAAAAACGGATAACGGCCGTTTCCCATTTCGTGACTTTGTGATGCGATGAGAACTTCACGCGTACGGACTGAACCAGGACTGATCCAGGTCCGAGACCCGGGACCAGAGTGGGACTGAGACCGGGCCAGTGGTCGAGTGGTTCCGTGTCTCGTCTGCGCGCTGGTTTCCGTGCGGGGAAAAGTGAGAATGTTCTGTGGACTACAGGTCCAACGATGCTCCAGTCCTCCGCGCTCAAACACGGCTGTTCCGAAGTGGTGCAAAGCATCCGACTGACGCTTTCAACCAACGAAAACAAAACCGAACTAAGAGCTTTTGGTTCAATGGACCAGGTCCGGGACAGATCGGGGACCAGAGCACTACTGAAACTGGACCAGACAGGACCAGAGCTGGCCTGAGACAGAGAAACCGAACAAGACCGGGACCAGAGGGAACAGACCGGAGGCTCAGAGCCCACAGCAGGGCCGGAGCTCGAAGCTGAGGCTCGGACCCCGCGGAGGCTTGGAGTCAAAGCTCGGAGTCCGCCCTGGTCCCACTCTGGTTCCGGTCTGTCCTGCTCTGGTTCCAGTCTGGTCTCGGACTTGGATCAGTCCTGGTTCAGTCCGTACATGGTGCAAAAGTTTGGCATCGCAGTCACGGAAGTCACGTAAACGGGAACGGCCGTTGTCTGTTTTTTCATTTTCATTTAAACACAAATTGAAACTGAAAAAACGAATCGTTATCCGTTTTTTCATTTTGGTTTTGGAGACAATAGCGAAGAAAACTGTTGTTTTTTGTTTTCTTTAATTGGTTTTAATTGAAAACGAAATGAACGAATGATACACGGATTTTTCATGGATAGATGTTTGGATCCTCCCATCAACCCTAAGAAGAAAATGAAAGGGAAAAAAGAAGGAATCTGAAAAATCTTTAGAAAAAAACTGATAGATAAAATATTGAAATAGTTGATACTAACATAAATCTGACCATGAAGATCTGATTGGCAACAGATTTTGTGATAATGTTCAAAAGTTAATTTGTGAATTTGACTTCAACTTTAGATAAATTTGAGGGCCTTGCTCTGGATCTTACAAGCTTGTTAAAACCGCAAGTGGCGTTCAAGGCCCTCGCCACTCCTCTCACCCCCAACTACTATATTACTCAGTTCATTTCATTCCAATAAGACATTTTGTCCCACTGTCTCTGTGAATGAGTCCACTTAATAGTCCACTAAATAGGGCAGGCCTATGTAGTGAATGAGAGGTTAGGTTAGGGTGAACATTAAGACATGGGCATGGTGGAATAGAGCAGTGTACGGTTTAGTTTCCAAGATGATGTGCTCATTTGCATTATTTACATTATTTATTTGTTTGTTTTTTTTGTTAAAGAATGAATTTATTGTAGTAGAAAAATACATTCTTGGCAGATTAAATTATACCAAAGCACCAAAGTGGAATCAGTGTGTCATCATGATATTTTGACATCCACGCTCATCCAACAGAACTAAACATCTTTAAAATCACATGTTTGTAACCTACAATTACGCCCTTATGTCATTGAGGTCTGACTTGATTTATGGAAGTAATACAATCTAATAACACATATCTGTATTTGACTATTAATCAAAGCGGAGAGTGTAATTTAAGAGACATTTTACCACATGTTTTTTCCTGTTCAGCTGGAGGCAGAGGCTGTGTTTCGGGCTGTGACCATCGCGAGCCAAACCAACTGTCCGCTGTACGTCACCCGCGTCATGAGCAAGAGCGCCGCCGACATCATCTCCCTGGCCCGCAAGAAGGGTGAGGATACTGTGCAGTGACATGACACTGGGGGGTACTGAATGTATGTCTGTGGGGGAATGTTAAGATGTTGCCATGGTGATACAGTGCACGCATTAGGAAACGCAGCCAGAGGTTTGATGTTTTAATCTGAAAACAAACTCAACAAGAGCGTTCATGATCCTGTTTAGGTGTTTGGTTTTAAATTAAAAGGTGAGAGCGACTTGTTGAAAAACTGTTCAAGAGCACAAAGTCTTATTGTTGTAGTTGGAACTAAATCAGCTCTCTCTTGTTAGACTGTGTTGAAATAAAGATCAGATTAAAATCTAAGGCTGCGTTCAGACTGCAGCCTGAAATTACCCAAATCTGATTTTTTGGCCCCTATGTGACTTGTATCTGATCTTTTAATGACAGTCTGAACGACACAGATTTTTTTTCATGTGACCCGAACACTTGATATGTGCTCCAAACCGATACATACTGATCTTTGACAATGCGACTTCAGTGTGAACGGCCAAGGGCGCATCATTCCGACCTACACGTTATACAAGCCACAAACGTCCACTATTCTGCGCTGAAGTAGGCGAAAATTGTCACAAAGCGAAGCCATCACCACTCACCACTCTTGTACGTCTCCGCATCCACACGGTTTCAACGGAAAGTCGCTATGCGCCACCAAACACCAGCCAAAACCTCGTCCTTCCCTTCCATTTCTCCTACCTTCAGGCTTCAATTAATTTATGACGGGGATCTGATTATTTGGAAATGATCATTGGGTAGAATAACTCTGACTTTTTTTTGGAGAGACCTTCATCCAGTGTGTTCTGGGATGTTGCAGTTTGCAGCATTGGCCGGTGTGGTTAAAACTGAAGACGAAATAATATGAACAATAACTTTATGTGTTTACCACTTTTCATAACAATGAAAACATAGCACAGTGTAACAGCTTTACAGTGGCAGAACAACATCACTTTTTTTCGTGTGGTGCCCAAGAAACATTTTTATCTTTTGTAAACGAAAAGTACTTTGCACTTCTGGCAGGTCGTTTGTGTGTAGTCGTTCTTGCACGTCTGCATCGTCCATTTATCAGCATGGATGGGAAAAAGGCTCCTGAGTAAAAAAAAGCTCATAAATATTGGATTTGGAGTAATTAGGTAATTGGCATTTAGCTGATATCTGCAACGCCTGCCTGGAGAGGGTTAAAGCAAGGTTGTTCTTGTTCTGGTCCGTACAGAGGAACTTTTAAAATCTCCAGGTGCTCGACTGCGCCATGTTTGGACAACTTCCGTAAACACAGAGCACGCGCTGCGGTTGAGTCATCGTGTCCCCAGTGCAATGCGGACACTTTTGGCCGTTTAATGTTCACACTGGAGTCACATACAAGTCACATTTATTGGAAATGTGAACAACCTCCAAAAAAATCGGAATTGAGCGTTAAGCCCTGCAGTCTGAACGTAGCCTAATAGAGCTTCTGACAGAAAAGTACCTTCAGTTAGCATCACACCCCCACCAGCTGCTTGCTGCTGTACCTGGAAAACTGATGTGATAAACATTCCTTGCGGTGGACGAGATGTCTGAAGCTCTGTTACTCAAATCAGAGTTTTGTTTTAACAGAATCTGACCATAAATAATTGACTTGGCGAGGACTATCAGGTGTACTGAATGGTGCTTTAACTCTTTCACTGTCCTTTATTACACAAAATTGACTCTGAGCTTTAAATCATCTTTTGCATTGTCAAAAACAGACCTGGAGTTGTGTTTTGTTTCATTCGCACATGTTTGAGTCGTCATTTATTATGGGAGCAGGCCTACGTTCCCTCAGCCCTGTGTTCTTTCATTTCTAAGTTTTTTTTTTTTCTTTCCAAAATCAGGCCCTATGTTCCAACATTTTCCTCATCATCAATTTACATCTGAATTTATGTTCATTTCTCCCAATTTGGTCGTCACTTACACCCAACCTATTCTCCAGCTGCAGCAGACTACAGATGTAATGTCGAAGTCGTGGTGTAAAGGATCCTAGGTTGAAATAACTCTGAATCATCCCTTTAAATGTGACATAAAAATAAAAATGACCTGACTTAGAGTTTCATTTTGAGAAAACTCTTAGAAATAAGAAAAATTTTAGAAATAAGGGAACATAGAGCTGTGGGAACATAGGGCTGACCTCGTTTATTACTAATCTGTCTACATCTACAAAGTTCAACATGCTCTGTTCCACCTTGTGATGTCATGAAGCGGATTTCAAGTTAACAGCTACATTTTACCTTTAGTTCAGTGTGTTAAATGTGAATGAAACAAAGCACAACTCTGGCTGATGAGGTGCACATTTAAAGTAGATTTTGTATTGTTAAAAGTTGGTTTCCATGATTAGCACTGTTGTATATATTTTTAAAAATGTTAAGCAAAGTTCTACAGTGTGAACTTGTGTAAAAATGGTGAACGTGTGCTTGTGTGTGTTTACAGGTAATGTCGTGTTCGGGGAGCCCATCACAGCGAGTCTGGGCACTGACGGGACTCACTACTGGAGCAAGAACTGGGCCAAAGCTGCGTCCTTCGTGACCTCTCCTCCTCTGAGTCCAGACCCCACCACCCCGGACTATCTCCACACTCTGCTCTCCAGGTTATATCACAGTTCTATACTTATCACTCCACTGTAGGCTGTGAGAGAGACAGAGACAGACAGCCACACTTGGACTTAGACCAGGGGTGGGCGAACGTTTTGACTCATGGACCACAAAGGGTTCTAAAATTTGACTGAAGGGCTGGACCAGGAGCAGATGGATGGAGTTTTTTGGTAATCCACCTCATAAGAGAAAAAAAATAACATGTAACATGATATGTAGAAAACATATCCCTTGTTATTGAAATATCCTATAATTGAAAATCATTACACATTACAACAAAATATCTGTCTTTCAAGTCCCACAGTATTTGCTATTTACTGAAATGGCTTTTAAAACACTGAAAATTATTATTATTATTCAAGTTCAGCGGGCCAAAGTAAAATGATTAAAGGGTCACATTTGGCCCCTGGGCTGTAGTTTGCCCGCTCCTGGCTTAGACAAACCCAAATGACTTGTAAACACTAACTTATACAATGCAATATAATAACAAAGAGGAAAAATACATGGCAATACAATTCAAAATAATAGAAGTGGTAAAAATGGCAAAAGACTGTCAAAAAAGGTACTCACATACAGACTTGCACATAAAAGTACAGTAGGAAATATTATAATATATAATATATAATATAACTATGAGATAATATAAGTATAGGTGGGGTAAGGAAGTACAGTGCACAGATGGAACTGATGGCTTTGATATGACATAAGTTTATCTGTTAGGCCTGCATAATTGTGTTGACACAATAATAAAACATCTAACTTGATTTCAGTACTAAGGTGCTGACTCAATACTCGATACCGATACCGATTCCAATCCAATGTCAATTTCAACACAATATAACAGAGCTCTCTTTATATTAATGTGTGGTCTGATACTATCTCCAACAAAGCTCAAGATTAAAAATAACAATATTGGAGAGCTGTACTGGATCAAAACTTACACATAGAGGTGCTCATCAGACCAAAGGGCTAGAATTCTTGTTGAGGTGAAAGAAGAATGACAGAGTCACTCTGAGTTGTGGTTATTTTATCAGGGTGGATCAGCCCTGATGAAATGAATTAACAATTATAATTGTTATTAATAAATGAATAAATACACTGCAAATCAGAGTACCTCTGCCAAAGCTCAAGATTATTCTGAAATTGTGGAGATGTAGACCATGGATTGTTTGCCAAGTTACAGGTCAGATCTGTGGAGAGGGAACCCTGCTCAGTCAGAATGTCTTTTTTTCTAGGTATTTTTGAACTATAAAACCACCTGTAATTGACTAAATGTAAGGCAGATCTGTTTAATGTCATACTGTGGAACATCCCAGAGCAATGACATTTCCATAGAAACAAGAAAGTGATGAAACCTGTACCAAAAAGTTTCATAGTGCGTCTTTAAGAAAATGTCAAATTTGTCTTGTTTATGTGGGCTTTTCAGTATTGATACTCAAAGTCAAATGAGAATCTAGTTTTGATATTAGTTTTAGTATCAATTAGCGTCAGATTTTTTTTTCGACTCAAAGTTATTCTGTTTGTTCACGTACATTCTGACATGACATGTTGGAGTCACATCATAATAATACATGAAACTGTATTTCATAACTCACTGTTGTCATTTAGTATTTCAGTAGAGTTACAGTGATCTACAGAGTTTGAAAAAAGAAAGAAGCTATTTTTTGTTGCTAGGACAGACTTCAGTGTGTTTAGCTCGCAATAGCATTTCATTACATTTCACTGATTTCCATAGTTACAATATTACAGAAAATCAACAAACATACCATAATTTCTCTCTTTTTTTAACCCTGAAAACACTCTTCTAATTGTGCCCTTCTGAAAAATGATTTCCACTCATCAAGGTCATTACAGCAAATTATGTTGTTGGGAAAAACAGAGTATCCAAGGAAGTCTCTTTATAGCACGTTCAGTGTGTAATGAAATCTATGCTAAATGTCTGCTGTAAACGAGAAGGCAGCAGTGACAAAGCAGTGAAATGAATGGAAAATGAGTCTGCGTTTGGTGCAAAAATAAACCTTTGTGTCTTACATGCAGTTTAATGACTATTTTTACCTTTGTGTTGGATCAAAATATGTAATTTCTTTTCAAATTACAGTAGTCATTTCAAAAGCCCCGTAAACCAAAACCAAATTTATAATAGAAATTGGAATTGTAACATGCATTTTTGAAATACATATTTTATCTCCACTTGGATACACGTAGCACTGTCAATGTCTTCTTTTGTTTTGAATAATAATAATTATTATAATTATATTTCATTTGTTTTATACAGCGCTTTTCCAGACACTCAAAGTTGCTTTACAGTTTGGTGCATTATTCAGTCACTCCATACTCTGAGGTGGTGAACTACTATTATAGTCACAGCTGCCCTGACACAGACTGATGGAAACAAGGCTGCCAATCTGCACCATCGGTCCCTCTGACCACCACCAACACTTACACACACCACTTTCATGAACTTGGCAATGTGGGTGAAGTGTCTTGCCTAAGGACACAATGTGAGTTGTTTTTTTTTTACCACTGGCGCCCCCATGTGGCTCCTCATGTTCCTGGTGGTTTCCCATCCAGGTACTAACCAGGCCAGGCCCTGTTTAACTATTGAGATCTTACAAGATCAGGCTTTGACAAGGAGGTTTGGCCAAAGTATCTGAAGTACAAACCAAGAACTAGATAATTAACTTTGAATTCATCATTGCATTTATATTGTGACTTTCCAAAGCACTTTACAGATCATTAGTCATTCCCTCCACTCTCAGTGGTGGTAAACTACTATTGCAGCCACAATGCCTAATGGAAGTGAGGCTGCCAATCTGCACCATCGGCCCCTCCGACCACCACCATCACTCACACACACACCACTTTCATACTAGGCAACGTGAATGAACTGTATTGCTTCAGGACACAATGACAGTTTTTGTGACTGGCGCCCCCCTGTGGCACCTGATTTTCCCAGTTATCTCCCATCCAAGTACTAACCAGGCCCAGCCCCTGAGCTTCTGAGATCTGATGGGATCAGGTTTTGACAAACTGGTATTTCTATTCACCTCAAAAAATGAGTGCAATAGTATTGATATTTGCTGCTGATGTCATCAACATTCCCTGAAGTTGTGATGCTAACTGAAAGGCTCTGCTCTGTCAGACGCTCTGTAGACTTTAATCTGAGTTTTATTTTAACATAATCTGACTAGAAAAGACTGACCTGTGTCCAGCCTTGCATTTTAAATGTGCTTTTTGGACATAAAACAACTGTGTTATGGCGATGCCTTAAATCTTAATATTTGAAATGTTTGAAAAGTCTGGGGGTTGAGCTCCATATATGAACTCTAATGTTAACAAGAGGTTATAGAAAAGTATTAGAAAAGCTGTAGTGAGTTTGTGATATGATTTGAAGCCAGTCTCTTGTGTGTTTGTGCAGTGGGGACCTCAGCGTGACGGGCAGCGCTCACTGCACCTTCAGCGTGGCTCAGAAGGCCATCGGAAAAGACGACTTCACTCAGATCCCAGAAGGAGTCAACGGAGTGGAGGAGCGCATGGCCCTCATCTGGGACAAGGCTGTGGTGAGCTCTCTATACAGTTCGCATTTACACTGCCACTAAAAATGTGACCTTTAGTAAACCATAGGGCTACTGTGCATTTTCTGTAGCTTTACATGATAACACAATTTGGAGAGTGATATATTGCTTCACAAAATAGCACAATAAATTATACACTTCTTGACAGTGACACTAGAAATCAGCCAATATAGACTTTTCTGTGGTTTAGAATCTGGAGAAACTGAAGGCTGATTAAAATGTCAACTTTTGGACCGATATAGAGGGCTGGTTTTGATGATTTTCCTAAAATGATGTAATTTCTTTTTACTACAAACTCACCCACAGCCCTGTTTTACCACAAACATATAAGAGAGTTGTGTAGTCATATTTTGTTCATCTATGAAGTCATATTAAGATATGTGTTAAAACTCAGGTGGCCCGTACGGGGATTGAACCCGTGACCTTGGCGTTATTAGCACCACGCTCTAACCAACTGAGCTAACCAGCCATGCCTTGTGTGAATTTCTTAGACTCTTTGAATTTTTATAGTAAAGTTAGAAAAGTGATACAATGACTTGAGAATATTTTCGATTGGAGTTGGTGCCGGAGTATCTTCAGGGAACCAAAGGGTCGAGCAATCTGACTCCAGTCCATGAACTTTGGGTAAAGTCCACTACTTGCTAAAACAACGTTAAATACTTCAGAATGTCTTAGGAGAAGTCTTTAAATTGATGCTTTCCAAACACAAAATCAAGTCTGAAATGTGTCATTGGTCCACAGTCATCCATGTTGAGATATGTGTTTAAAGTCAGCTGGCCTGTATGGGGATCGAACCCATGACCTTGGCGTTATTAGCACCACGCTCTAACCAACTGAGCTAACCGGCCATGCTTTGTGTGAATTTCTTAGATTCTTTGAATTTTTATAGTAAAGTTAGAAAAGTGGTGATATAATGATTTGCTACTGCACATGAGAATATTTTCGATTGGAGTTGGTGCCGGAGTATCTTCAGGGAACCAAAAGGTCGAGCAATTTGACTCCAGTCCATGAGCTTTGGGTAAAGTCCACTACTTGCTATAACAGAGTAAAATACTTCAGAATGTCTTAGGAGAAGTGTTTAAATTGATGCTTTCCACGCATGAAATCAAGTCTGAAATGTGTCAACAACACAGTGTTGCATCAACCCCATAAAGTTCTAGTTCATTCTGCAAATAGGAGGTGATAAGTTTTGCTTCAGGGCATGGCTTGTGATGAAAGCATTGGTCCACAATCACCAATTTTCCATGTTAAGATACGTGTCAATTCCCAGCTGGCCGTACGGATTGAACCATGACCTTGGCGTTATTAGCACCACGCTCTAACCAACTGAGCTAACCGGCCATGCCTTTTGTGAATTTCTTAGACTCTTTGAATTTTTATAGTAAAGTTAGAAAAGTCTGGTGATATAATGATTTGCTACTGCACATGAGAATATTTTCGATTGGAGTTGGTGCAGAAGTATCTTCAGGGAACCAAAGGGTCGAGCAATCTGACTCCAGTCCATGAACTTTGGGTAAAGTCCACTACTTGCTAAGGAGGAGACTGAGAAGGAGAAGGACGAGGTTTTTGGCCGTGGTGTTTTGGGGACAGCGGCAGCGACGTCCGTTGAAAGGAACGTGTGGATGGAGCGTAGCCAAGAGTGGTGAGTGGTGATGTGCTTCGCTTCAGTGACACGGAGTTCATTAACAATTTTCGCCTTCTTCAGTGCAGAATAGTGACGTTTGTGGCTTGTTCATAACGTGTAGGTCGAATGAATGCGCTTTGGCCATTCACACTGAAGTCGCATGTCAAAAGATCAGATATGTATCGGTTTCAGGACCACATATCCAAGTGGCCTGGGTCGCATTTGAAAAAATTGGATCTGTGCCATTCAGACTGTCTACAGGTCATGTAGAATCAGATTTGGGTCACTTGGTCCACAGTCTTTCATGTTAAGATAGGTGTTAAATCTTAGCTGGCCCGTATGGGGATCGAACCCATGACCTTGGCGTTATTAGCACCACGCTCTAACCAACTGAGCTAACCAGCCATGACTTTTGTGAATTTCTTAGACTCTTTGAATTTTTATAGTAAAGTTAGAAAAGTCTGGTGATATAATGATTTGCTACTGCACATGAGAATATTTTCGATTGGAGTTGGTGCCGGAGTATCTTCAGGGAACCAAAAGGTCGAGCAATTTGACTCCAGTCTATGAGCTTTGGGTAAAGTCCACTACTTGCTATAACAGAGTAAAATACTTCAGAATGTCTTAGGAGAAGTCTTTAAATTATGCTTTCCACGCATGAAATCAAGTCTGAAATGTGTCAACAACACAGTGTTGCATCAACCCCGTAAATTCTAGTTCATTCTGCAAATAGGAGGTGATAAGTTTCGCTTCAAAGCATTGGTCCACAGTCATCAGTCTTCCATGATATGTGTTAAAAGTCAGCTGGCCCGTATGGGGATCGAACCCATGACCTTGGCGTTATTAGCACCACGCTCTAACCAACTGAGCTAACCGGCCATACCTTGTGTGAATCACTTTGACTCTTAGAATTTTTATAGTAAAGTCAGAAAAGTCTGGTGATACAGTGACTTGCTACTGCACATGAGAATATTTTCGATTGGAGTTGGTGCAGAAGTATCTTCAGGGAACCAAAGGGTCGAGCAATCTGACTCCAGTCCATGAACTTTGGGTAAAGTCCACTACTTGCTAAGGAGAGACTGAGAAGGAGAAGGACGAGGTTTTTGGCGTGGTGTTTTGTGGGACAGCGGCAGCGACGTCCGTTGAAAGGAAGTGTGGAATGTGGAGACGTACCAAGAGTGGTGAGTGGCGATGTGCTTCGCTATAACGGAGTTCATAACAATTTTCGCCTTCTCAGTGAGAATAGTGACGTTTGTGGCTTGTTCATAACGGTAGGTCGAATGAATGTGCTTTGGCCATTCACTGAAGTCGATGCAAAAGATCAGATATGTTTCGGTTTCAGGGCACATATCCAAGTGGCCTGGGTCGCATTGAAAAAATTGATCTGTGCCATTCAGACTGTCAAAACATTGGATACAGGGCACATAAATCAGATTGGGTCACTTGGTCCACTGTCTTTCATGTTAAGATACGTGTTAAATCTTAGTGCCGTATGGGTCGAACCCTGATTGGCGTTANAGGAGAAGGACGAGGTTTTTTGGCCGTGGTGTTTTTTGGGACGCGGCAGCGACGGTCCGTTGAGAACGTGTGGATTGGAGACGTAGCCAAGAGTGGTGAGTGGCGATGTGCTTCGCTTCAGTGCACGGAGTTCATTACAATTTTCGCCTCTTCAGTGCAGAACAGTGCGTTTGTGGCTTTTCATACGTGTAGGTCGAATTGAATGCGCTTTGGCCATTCACACTGAAGTCGCATTCAAAAGATCAGATATGTATCGTTTCAGGACCACATATCCAAAGTGGCCTGGGTCGCATTTGAAAAAAATCGGATCTGTGCCATTCCAGACTGTATACAGGTCACATACAATCAGATTTGGGGCACTTGGTCCACAGTCTTTCATGTTCAGATACGTGTTAAATCTTAGCTGGCCTGTATGGGGATCGAACCCATGACCTTGGCTTTATTAGCACCACGCTCTAACCAACTGAGCTAACCGGCCATGATTTGTGTTAGTCACTTTGACTCTTAGAATTTTTATAGTAAAGTCAGAAAAGTCTGGTGATACAATGACTTGCTACTGCACATGAGAATATTTTCGATTGGAGTTGGTGCAGAAGTATCTTCAGGGAACCAAAGGGTCGAGCAATCTGACTCCAGTCCATGAACTTTGGGTAAAGTCCACTACTTGCTATAACAGAGTAAAATACTTCAGAATGTCTTAGGAGAAGTCTTTAAATTATGCTTTCCACGCATGAAATCAAGTCTGAAATGTGTCAACAACACAGTGTTGCATCAACCCCGTAAATTCTAGTTCATTCTGCAAATAGGAGGTGATAAGTTTCGCTTCAAAGCATTGGTCCACAGTCATCAGTCTTCCATGATATGTGTTAAAAGTCAGCTGGCCCGTATGGGGATCGAACCCATGACCTTGGCGTTATTAGCACCACGCTCTAACCAACTGAGCTAACCGGCCATGCCTTGTGTGAATCACTTTGACTCTTAGAATTTTTATAGTAAAGTTAGAAAAGACTCCCCACCCACCCGGAGAGGGCAAGCCACCTTTTTCCGGTCGAGAACCATGGCCTCAGACTTAGAAGATCCCAGCCGCTTCACACTCGGCTGCAACCGCCCCAGTGCACATTGCAGGTCCTGGTTCGATGAAGCCAACAGGACAACATCATCCGCAAACAGCAGAGATGAGATCCTGTGGTCCCCAAACCGGACCCCCTCCGGCCCCTGACTGCGCCTAGAAATTCTGTCCATAAAAACAATGAACAGAACCGGTGACAAAGGGCAGCCCTGGCGGAGTCCAACATGCACCGGGAACAGGTCTGATTTACTGCCCGCAATGCGAACACAGCTCCTGCTCCGGTCATACAGGGACCGGACAGCCCTTAGCAAAGGGCCCCAGACCCCATACTCCCAGAGCACCCCCCACAGGACACCACGAGGGACACGGTGGAATGCCTTCTCCAAGTCCACAAAGCACATGTGGACTGGTTGGGCAAACTCCCATGAACCCTCGAGCACCCTATGGAGAGTGTAGAGCTGGTCCAGTGTTCCACGGCCAGGACGAAAACCACACTGCTCTTCCTGGATCCGAGGTTCGACTATCGGCCGGATTCTCCTCTCCAGTACCCTGGCATAGACCTTACCGGGAAGGCTGAGGAGTGTGATTCCCCTATAGTTGGAACACACCCTCCGATCCCCCTTCTTATACAGAGGGACCACCACCCCGGTTTGCCAGCCCAGAGGTACTGTCCCCGACCGCCACGCGATGTTGAAGAGGCGTGTCAGCCAAGACAGCCCCACAACATCCAGAGACTTAAGGTACTCAGGACGGATCTCATCCAACCCCGGAGCC